ATCCAACACTGTTTTCATCAACAAGTTTGGGCATTGTTGTTTTTTTTTCGTGGGCCAACCGCGTGCCATCTGCCTCTTGGTATATGTATGTATATATGTATGTACAAGCATACTCACACACACACACATACACATACATACATATGTATTTCGGATACAGATCTCGTGCCATTTAGTGCCAGGCTCGGTGCCAAAAAACCCCCAAACACTTAATTATTATACTTTATACAGGTACATACAGTCACGGACAAAAGTATTGCCGATTCAATATTTTCTCATTTTATTGTTCGTTTTATCAAAGGTACCGTCTAATACATATGTACAAAATTGTATTACTTCTACAATTATAAACTATTTTTGCATGCAATCCAATAATTAATTTGTAAACATGCCTTTATTACAAGTACACGTAGTTTTTTTGGTACAAAAGTATTGGCATTGGAAATGACCACAACTTTTCTTTTAATAAGCTTGTAACCCCAAGGCCTTGTTATTTTGACAACACTACGGCTGCCAATACTTTTGCTCGTGACTGTATGTACATACATACATACATCCCATATATGTATATAATGTAGGTCCATATACATACAAAAATGGTATTCAACCGATTTCCCCGAATTCTGCGCGCCTCTTTTGGCAAGCGAATAATTAAGTTGTATTTGTTTTGCAAAGCTTCTAATACCCTTCGTCTCACTAACCTATCCCTATAAGTTAATAAGACGAATGTCACATGCAGCTAGAGCTTTTCGGTTTAGCGATTTCTGCGTTGGCAGCATGACTCATGAGTTTTTTTAAATTATCACTGTACAGTGTAAACCACACACATTGGCATATTTACACATACAATGTACATACGCTTGAAAAGCTCTCCAGTTCTGAGAATTGGCTCGGCGAGCTTTTATCTTTACACCAACACGCGCGCACGCACACACAGCGAAACAGCTGCTGACTAATGCCACCACATGAAAGCTGTGTCGACAGCTTTTTGGAACGAGGCAGACTGCAAACAATTTTAAAATTCCTAACGTATTTTTAAACCGCTAAATCACATATAATTTTAGTCATTTACTTTGGCTTGTTGATATTTTATTGTGAATGAAATTCTATGAATTATTTTGAATTAATATCATTATTATATTTAATTCTGTATATTACATTGCTTAAACATCAGAGAAAAATTATATATGTACAAAGTATTTAGTTGCGGTCTACAAAATTCTATGTACTATACAAATGATGAAATACAAATACGCGTATACACATACATATGTACATACATACATATAGATGTGTATATTTATGTATGTACATATATATAAAGATAAATACAAATATGCACATTTGTATTCCCTGTTTAAATTTTAAAGACTAATAAGCGTCTTACATTTGTATGTAAATATGTGTGTGTATACAAAACTGTTATAAACATATATAATGTATAACCTTCTATGCGTGAAAATATAGCTAAATATGTCCTTTATATATCTGTACATATTTGAAACAATTGCCGGCCGGCAAATCTCATACACACTTGCTTATTGCGCCCAGGGTTGAGAAGGTACCAAACAATTGTTGCACCAACGCTTTGTACAGCACTAAAAGCTAAAGTAAAATTGTGACGTCACACATTCAAAACTTATAGCCATGAAAATTGTCTCTTTTCACCAATGTTTTAGGTAGCATTGCAATTGACACATATTGTAATAATGTAATATTTACATATTGTACCATTTTTATTGAATTCTTTGTTTCTATTCATCATTCATCAAATTGTGGTGACGTAACAAGGGCCAACAAGGTTTCTTCGCTGAAGAACCTTGCTGCGGCTTTTGTGAGCAAAAGCTCGCTCCACACGCGGCTTTCGCTTTTGTGAGTACAAGAGTATCTGTGTAAAGCTCTATCGCACACATGCCCAGCCAGTTATCTGGCTATGGCAAACTGGTTTGTCGCTGTGCTTTTTGAATTTCACAACGAAACTAAATTCGCCAGATTACAATTCCCACAGTTTGGTGCACTTTTCTGACTCGACTGGCGGTTCTCGTAGCGATCCGTCGATTTAATATCAAGTGAATACCACAAGCAAGCAGTTGAGTCACACTCGGCTCGGTTTGCTATTGAATGTGAAAAGTGTAAAATATACAAAGGCCACGCATAGCTAACTCCTGTTAAAGGATAGAAAAAGTGTTGAATAAAAATCGTTGAAGATTTTATATTTTTGTTGTTGTTCTACGTGGAGCAACAACTGCGAATCTGTCGGTGAACATTTTTTTAAGCAACGGCAACGCGCGTTGAGACATTCAAGTGGTGGTTCAAAAAACCACCCAATAAATTGCGTCGCTAAAAAAAGCAAGTGAATTTTTCGGTCAGGTCTTTAACACCCGGCCACCAGCGCTTGAAGACACAAGTTACAAATTGATGTAAGTTATTATGCAAATAAGAATATACATACATATGTATTTTGTGTGCCAGTATGAGCCAATGATTCAGATTGATATACTATATGGCAAAAGCTCTTAGTGGTATTTAATATTTCGACCGGCCGCCATATTGAATTAAGTAAAGTGCCAGCAACAATTGCAGTTTAAACCTATGTATATGTGCGACATGAGTACATATATACAAACATACATACATATGTACGTACATACATACATACATACATACATACATACATACATACATACATACATACATATGTACATACATACATACATATGTACATACATACATACATACATACATACATACAGACATATACACATACAGACATATATACATACATATCTACATAGCTATATATGTACATATATAAATCAATTAATACCCATATGCATACCTACGTAACATACATACAGACGTAAAGCCGAAAATATAAACATTCCTACATACAAACATCCAAACGTACCTATGTAAATACACGTACATATATATGTATATATACTGTTTATGCGTAACAAAGGTTTTCTATCGCGCAGACGTCAGCAGCTGACGACACACACAGATGCGCATTCCCACACACAAACACACACACACGCAAACTTGTGGTGGGGATTTATTTGAGGCAGGCTTTTTTCGTGCCTATAATTACATACATATGTATTTACTTGATTGTTCTTTTCTATATTGCAAGGGGTTGGGAGTGGGATAATTTTCTATTGCGCGCGCTATATGTATGTATGTGTTAGTACTTGGTGTTTTTCCAGCAATTAATAATTGCTTTTTGCGGTTGCTCTGGCGAACGATTTGATATGTCAACAAGATTGCGATATGCCCTATTATCTGCAAGCACACGTAAAGACTAACGTATGTGAGGATGTATGTGTGTGTGTGTGTGTGTGTGTGTATGTGTACGTGTACGTGTACAATTATCTAAATGGCACCAGGGTGGCGCACGCTGGAGATACATACATACGTATATAGATAATTGCCTTAAACATTGGCAGCCCCTCGATCGGGAGTAACCAACAACTGATTAGGCGTCAAGCGTTGGCAACTGCTAGTTGGCGGCCATTTTGTTAATCGCCCATACATTGTGAAATTCAATTTGTAGCTTTTGCTTTTGGCCATCTTCTGCCCCCGCAAAGGGGGAATATGTGTGGGCACGAAAGCTTATCGCTGGGTATCACGCTTTTGCATGGTGTATCGAATAAGGAAGCACTTCATATAGGGCGCCTAATTTACGTTCTATAGATAATTCCTCTAAAAGTGCGCAGGTATTTTTCAGGTGCTATCATTACACATGTATGTAATTATATTTATATACGTACATGCATACCTTTATAACAATTAGTATACATGCTAAGTACTTATTGAACCTATAAATAATGTAAACTATTCTCTTTTTGTTTTCAGTCTAAAAGGAAGTTGTGTCGACGACTCTTTTAGAGCTTGTTTAGAGTTTCCCTAACAATTTCATTGTTCCTCTCTAACGGTCAATTAAAAGTGAGTATCCAAATCCTTTTACCTTCTAGATTTAAGATTCATGCCTGCTTGTTTTAAATAACGATCACTGGCTAGTTTTTAAGCATGTTTTATGAAAAAATAATATATTTTAAAAAAAAATATGTGTACATTGAAAAGAGGAGTAATTCCCAAAAAAAGAGGAGTAGTTCCCAAAAAAGAGGAGTAATTCCCAAAAAAAAGGAGTAATTCCATTAAAAAAGGAGTAATTCCATAAAAATATAAAAAAAGGAGTAAATCCAAAAAAAAAAAAAATAAATATAATGTGTACATAAAAAAAAGAAGAAAAAATGTATATATTAAAAAGGGAAAATATGGAGAAAAAAAGGCAAAAGAAAAAAGGAAAATATATGGAAAACATTACTAACAAACATGAATGTCGCCTAAAAAAAAAAATTAAAAAACAAAAGAAAACACCAAACACTCACACAACTCATCCATTTGCTGTACGAATCCTGCTAAAAATCGCTCTGATCTAAAACTCAATGGTCGGAGATATCAAGGCAATTATTTTGCCATTATGTTGATGTCTCTGACCAATTGACAATATGCCCATGATCTGGGGTAGCATACAAAACCTCTACACAACATTTTGCACATTCCACAACATAAAGTTGCGCGTGGCCTATCAAAAGGAACGCGCTTCCACAACGTCGTCGATCTGTGTAATAACGAAATCTTTTTTTCTTTTGTCTACTTTCTTTCACATAAAAACAAAAAATACCAAAAACCAAAACCAAAACTCTAAAATGCGCTTGCTCCACTCAACGATATATCCTGAAAAATCTATAAAAAATTGTACAAATCATAAAATTTGTATTAATTTTGAAATCCTGTCGAACCGAAACCGAAATAAATATTGAACCGTTCACCGAAAAATAAATGACCGAAACCTAAACGTTGAAATTTTGTAAAAATAATTGCGAATATTGCATTGATCAGCCACGTTCAAAATGGCATTCAGCGTCGAATTCCAAGCCAGCCAAAATAGGCCCAAGAGCGAATCCAACAACAACAACAACAGCAACAACAGCAGCAGCAGCAGCAGCAACAGCATCGAACAATCCAAGAACATCAGCAACAACTGTCAGAACAATAACTCCGATTATACTAACGGCACCTATACAAGCGGCAAGCAGACGGAATCCCGAAAATCCCAGAGATATAATATTGATGATCCAGGAGCCAGCACGAGTACAGGCAACAACATACGAGGCGGCGAAGGGACAGAAAAGCAACGTAATAGCCGCTGGCGAGAGAATCTACTCAACCAATTGCAATTGCTCAAAGAAGAGAACCGAGAGAATAGTGCATACGAGGGATTCGCCTATGTTGACGTCGACATCGACAGGAACGACAACAACAACAATACCGATCGTTATAAATACGCAGCCCAATCCAAGAATCATACTGATCAAGGTGCCCACGCACAGCAGCAACAGCAACAGCAAGAGCAGCAGGGCAGAGCCGAGCGCGCCTCGAACTCGTCTTATCAGAATACCCTTTTTACCAGGGTCGGTACCAACAACGGCTTCAGTGAAACATACTTTGCCTACGGTGAGCTCTTCAGTAAATTATACAACTTTGGCGACAGCATCCCGTATCGCGAGGCAAGCGATCCCATTGACTGGGACAATATACCCACCATTACAGTGCTCGAGCAGCTCAGGTTCTCAAGTAAACCAGGTCGCGAACGGCCAGATTCTAGGTCCGCCGACAACGACAGCGACATCGGTGACGCAAACGGTCCAGGTTTCGAGCACGCCCCAGACACTGGCGTCAATGGCTGGTATACAGCTGACAGGTGCAGACATGCAGTCCCACCGGGATATGAGTGGAGCAATGCCTACTGCTACAGTTGAAGAGATAGATGTTCCGGTGTTCATTGATGGTGAGTACTGTGTTAATGTGTGTAATTTGTACCCAGCACTCTCTCATTACTGTTCGAAAGCGAAACGAGTTGCCAATACTCTCATGCATGGCCAAACAATCAGTTAGAGAATGAGTCGGATAGCAGGCTGTGATCGGCGCCCGGCTCGGCCCGGCTGACCGCCCGGGTCGGTCGGTCGCCTGGTTCGGCCCATGACATCGAGGTACATTACCACGTAATGATGAAGCAGAAGATCACAGTGCAATGACCCATTGCGACCCCCAAGCAGTCCATAGAGTTAAAGTTTTCTTGCTCAGCGCCCCAAAGGATGTGGCCGGACAAGAGTCTGGCTCGCAATCCTCGCGGCTGCAAAGAACTTTGTGGTACCACATTCATTTTAGAGTCACAATTCTACCAATTATCCAAATTCTTGTCTTACAACGGTTGCCAACTTTACATGAGGGACTTTAGAGGTATTTAAATATTGAGTTATACGAATTTGTATATCCTCGTAAGGGGCATTATAATCTTGTCAAGAAGTAGCTGACGTTTAGACAGAAATATCTTCGAAGTATATGTATATTCTTGATCAATATCTATGGATCTGTATTCTAGAGAAATTAGTCTCTGAGCTTAGAATCTATCGTCATGAAACCCTGCAGTCGAATAATCCGATTTTTCACTCTTTTGTTCGATTGACAAAAATTTCCTTATAATTTTTTTCCTTTTTAAATACATAAAATGTTGGCTGGTAAAAAAATGATGTCACCTTTTTTTGCACAGAATAGTTGAGACTTTGAACTAGGAGTAAGCATATTTAAATGTATCTATATACACAGTGTGGTATCAAGGGAAAGTTAGGCTTAAAGATTATACATATCTAAACATAATTCAGAAATAGTTTGTCCATGGTTCAATATTAGAACTTATTTATATTCCAATATATTCTCTTAATTGAATTTTCTGTTTTTCTGGCTAGCACCTACGCTCGCTTCCACTGAAATATTGTGGGGATTTTCCTGATCAGAAAATAGATTTTTGCATTAAATTGCATCTGTAAAAAGATTTATCAATATTAAAGCTGCAGAGAGATTAGTTTGTCTAGATAGATTTGTCTGGATCAGATAGAAAGAGGAATATGGCTAAATCGACTCATATTATCGACCCGATCCATTATATATATAATTCACAGTATCGAGATGTTCTGCTATAGTGCATAAAGAATTTCTTGACAAGATTTAGTACCTCTGACGTGGTATAAAAATGATGTCGCTTTTTTTTTTTTTAATTATTTTTCTTCAAGTTTTTCTATTACACCTTTTTCCATATGAAGGAATCGTATAAAATGATGTCGCTTTTTTTATTTTAACAAATATGTTTGCGTAATGTACTATAGAAAAGTAGTATTAACCTTTTCAAAGGAATGTTTGCTAGTATAAAAATGACGTTTTTTTAAACCGTGTAAAAGAGTTTCTGCAAATATATCTAACAGACCAAAGATGACAAATTTCGACACATTCCGTCCAGATATATACACAAATAAACGGAAGCATCTAGTCCGAGTCGGCTATTGTTGTTAATGAGCAATATATATAATATATAATCTGCCAGGCCGACTTTGTGTCTTTTTAGTCTCTTAAAATTCAAGTTTTTCATATGGACAACACCTGAATGAGTCATAGCAAGATTTTCTATTAATAATTGACAAGTAATTAAATGTGTACAGTTTGGTTTCTTATAATGTGAATTAACTAATGTGCTTTTTATAACAAATGACTCGAGCTGATAAAAACTGTCCAATTTGTAAGCATTTGTATAACTAGTAGATATTTTACACCATTTTCTAAACTAAAAACTTTATCGGAGAAGCTAAAACTGCATAAAAAATTAAACTATTTGTTTGAAACTCATTTTATATAGCTTTCTTATCACATAACTTTCCGAATTTTTATTCGCCTTTCTTGACAGTTTGTAAAAAAAATGCCAACAAATTCGCATTTTATTTTATTATTTTGTTCCCAAGCTCTTATCAGCAGGTTACTTCTGTGGCTTCTATTCACGAGTTTTCTGCTTTCTTTTATTTTTTTACAATAATGAGTCATACAATTTGTCAGGCTGTCATTTAATTTATTAATATTAACTGCGCATTTTATACTTTACGCTTTCTTATATGCATTTATGTAAAAGCAGAACTTTATTTTTGTGGTATTATACCTTTTATGTATATTCGAAAAAAAGTTGCGAATTAGCTTGCGAATTTTAAACTTTGTCTAATCAATTGGTCGAAAGACAGGCCCATATATGGTAAAACTATGTTATTTCAAAATGTATCAAACATGTTTAGAAGATAGTTGCTAGGTACTTACATGCATATGTTTTTATATATATGTACATTGGATTAATCATCTTGATATTAACAAGTATTTATTGAATACACGTAATTGTATCAATGCATACTTCCTGTAGCTCACGCCACTTTTGAATTTTCTGACACTTTGACCAGCTCACAGCGCGAGAAGGCATTTAATTGGCTGCAGCAAGACATCCAAAAGCCCCTCACTTTCCCCTTATCACCTTTGTTTAGGTATCAAACAATGTCTCCATAAATGGGCACATAGCAAATACATTGACGCGCTCTTCAAGCCTCAAAAGTCCAGCCCATTTTCTGTCCCATTCGTGTGCATATTTACAAGAGTATATTTTGATACATATATGTTTCTATACATATGTATGTATTTATCTGCATTTTTAGTTTGTATTAATTGTCATTGGCTATCGAAACATCACAAGTTAATTCGAGTGCAATGGCCCACGGCTTACTCCTGACCTAGATTTATTTGACTACTTTTTTGTTGACGTGTGGAAATACGTACATCCTGCACTTTCATCAATAATACATAACATAGCTGAATTATGTATATATAAATACATAAAAGCCGAAACCCTTAATGCACGTGTTGTTGGCATTGAATAGTTAGATTTTCAATCCTTCCTCCCATTGTTGTGAAATTCGATTAGCATGATGTGCAAAAATATGAGAGAGGCCCGTTCGGCGAGAGCGTGGCCCCAACATTGGGCCACTTGTAGGAGTATGTGTACGTTCTCTCCAGTATTTTAGCGATCAAAAACACTCGCGTTGTCTCGCTCTTTGCCTCCAAAAGAGCGAGACAGCTGATTTGTGCCGGCCGGTAGTTGGTCTCTCTGAGCATACACACACACATGCACACACACAGACATACATTTGTAGACATAATGCACAGATATTTTTGCATCGCGCATACGCATAGTGGTACCCCTGAAGGGCAGCTTATGTACATACATATTTATGATGTATTTTTATACATAGTACTTAATATGAGCGTGCATATTTACATATTAAAATTATGCGGCGAATGCTGCTGTCTATTTATTTGTTTAATCAAAAGAACGCAGTTGATTTACCCATATTATCTATAATAAAAAATAGATAAACATAGTTGCAATAATTTTGTATAATTATCAAGCAAAGCCAACTGAATACTTCGCATAACTGCATTTGTTATTTACGCATTTGGTCTACATGCTACATTAATTCGCTAAGCTTTCGTCGCTCTGGTGAAATTCTAGTGCAAGGGTATTGGTGCATCAAATCCCCAAAACTACACACAGTCAAACATAATAGGTTGGTAACACGGCCGTCAGATACATCCAAACACAGTGTAATTGTCCAAGAACAAGTTCCTGTAAGACACACGTAGGCCAGAGCGAGACAACAGTAGTGCACAATAACACTTGTTGGCGTAGGGCAGGTTGCGCATATGTGTTGGTGAGATGGTATTCGTGCGCTCTCGCGATCTCCGACATCGCACAGCCGCATAAAAAGCGAGTATTTGCAACACGAAGTCAGTTGTCGTTGGCCGTTTGATACGTAAAGAACGCGCTCCAAAGCGGCGCGCAGAGACGTTTCCAAAGCCGTGCTAAAGGTGAATATTTATGCAAAAAATAATATTTTGACAAATTTAAATTAATTTCTCGAAAATATACAAATTATTATTAGAGATTTACTTTATTTTTGTAACCATAATTAGTTCTTTTTCTTTTGGCAGACTTGCCAACCTGCAACAAGTGTTGTCAATTTATCTTGAACTTTAGATTCTTTTTCCGGCTGCAATGCAATTCGCAATCAAAAATGACAATCAATTTATGCTCCTATTCAAAGAAGGTCAACAAATTTAGTTATAATCAAAAATTAACACCAAAATCTAATATTGTTAAAACCACAAGCAGCAAAAACAAACCGAATATCTATTTAATTTCATTCCCTCTGATTTATCTTTGACTTGATTTAATTCCCCTTTTATTTGATTTTGATTTGATTTCATCCCCTTTGGCCAATTCGAAACAACAAACACTGTGCAAAGCGACATGCACGATCATGTCTGCTTTGAGCAAACGTCATGTGCGCAATTCCCGCTCGCGTTCTCTCTGTATTTACGTGCCTCTTTTCTAGCGGTGCCTACTCCAAACCAAAACATATTGCCAATTAACAATATATGCACATGGACAGAATGTTTCAATTTTTATGTAAAATTGAATTTATTTAATTAACTGAACTAAAATGTGTAATTTCACATTATGTTTAAATGTTTTAATGCAGTTTCAAGCAGAAATATGTTATTGTATTTGTCTTCATTTTCGCTTGTTGAATTTCACAACAATGTTGAGCCGAGAGAGATAGCGATTGCGCCAACTTGTAGCGAGTAGCTTGTCGTCTCTGTCTTTTTTTTGTGCAGCCGCTTAAAAGTATGCAGCATATTTTGAATTCAACTTCTAGTTGGTATATCGAAATCTTATTAGACTCTAGCATACTTATTAAATGAATGTGCCGAAATATAAAAGATGGTCATTGCAAAGGCAACTGGTGAAAATAAATACGAAAAGCTACTCGAATGCATTTCGAAATGCACGTGAATTGTATTTATTGGTATTAATAATATTTTGTATCTTCTCAGAATATCTGGAAAATATAGAAGCAACGTCGTCGACGAGCAGCAGCAACAAAAGCGAGGAGATTGGAAAAGAGATTTGTACTGAGACGGATATATTTGATTTTGACTTTGATATAAACCTGATTGCCGAGGATCACATTGAGCGCAAGGAAATGGATCAGTGCAATCTGGACATGGATAGCAATTACAGCGACAACATTAACAGCGACATCAACGGAATGGATGAACTTCAGTTTCAACTATTGGGAGACGGCGAGGAGGAGGCACTTGACATGGGCTCAATGTGCAATGGCATCGATATCACAAGCAACCTGGGCGAAGAGCCCGACCTGGGCAACATACTGACCAGCGCGGAGAATCCCATGCTGAGCAATTTCTCGCAGGGCTCCATGCTCTACTCATCTAGCCAAACCAAATGCATCTACGAGCTGCCCATGTTGGCTGATGAGAACAGCATGGAAAACTACTATAACGCCAGCCAGCAGTCGCTCGGCTTCGGCCTCAGCCAGCTGGATGGGGTCAGCGAGGATGCCTGCAGTGCTGTGCTCGTCCAGGATGCTCCTCCATCCACCATGTGTCCGGGCGTCAAGCGCACAGCCTCTGCGGCTGGTCTCGTGTCCGGCGTTGAGTCGATGCCGCTCAAGCGCAGCAACCTCTTGCTTAACATCAACAAATCACAGATCAGCTTTCCAGATGTCATCAACACGCCCGACATCATCGAGCAGGTGCTCAACTTTGACGAAGTAAGACCCGACATATTCTATTCAAATGTAACCGCAAACTAATTTTCCGGTTTTGCTCGCTTACAGACCAATTCAGTCAGTAATAATGTCACCAACCAGGATCTAATTTATGAGGAGCTGCGCAGCACAGAGGATAACACCGCATTCACCATCCTGCCCGATTTCTCAGCGCCAAATACGCCGAATAGCAATTATTCGGCCAGCACATCGCGTTCGCATGCAACCACCTGCCAGATGGGCTTTGCTGGCCTCCTTACCGCGCCCGTGTCACCCGCCTTCTCCACTGCCAGCACATCGCAGTTCAGTGTCTCAACATCGACCACCGGCAACTCGAAGCGCAAGCGCGGTCGTCCCGCCAAGGAGCACGCCGAAGGCCCCGATCCGGAGAAGATGGCCCAAATGTCAGAGGACGACGCAAAGTCGTACCTAGATCGTCTTAAGAACAACGAGGCTAGCCGCGTCTCGCGCAAGAAGACCAAGGCGCGCGAGCTCGAGGAGATGAAGGAGGAGCAGGACCTGCAAGCCGAACACGATCAACTAACATACACACTGCAGATGGTCATGCGGGAAGCCAGGCGTTACCAGGAATACCTCAAGCGAAACTATCATAAGAATAGCACCTATGTCAAGCCCGAACCGGAGCACTGAGATTCTCCTAGCCATGCCATGCCATAGTCAAACTCTCGTACCTCTCGAGTGTTGCATATTGCGACGCAGAGCTCTAGTTGTTAAATAAGTTGTAGTCATCCATTCTTAAGAAGGGATTGTTGTCGTTGAAGAAGGAGTCGCTGTAATGTGTGGCACAAAGCCACAAAAAAAAATGATGGAAAACTTTTATTTTTTTTTGGTTACCAACTAAGTGATTATGCATACTTACTTTCAAAGGCGTCACATAGAATGCGCGCACGGTTTTACATATTTTGTATTAGTATTTTATTATGTTTGCAATTTGTCAAATTTTAACCACATGTTCTTTACACTTATGTTATATATATAATAATTGTAATCAAAAACAAAACGTATCTTCAAGCTCGTAATTAGCGACAAAAAGGAAAACAACAAATTATGAAGTAGCGATTAATTACAATTACATATATACTCCGTTTTATCAAAAAAAAAAAAAAAAAACAAAAATTGTTACAAAAAAAAAAATATATAGAACAAAAAAATTTAAATATTTTTAAGAATGCATAAATATATTCCACACATGTCTAAGATATATTATATACTTGTAAACGTTTTAAATAAAATGCATATGTCCTCAAGGTCATTGCGAAATCTAATTTGTGCGTATTTTATTCTCAATGCATTCTATAAATGAGCTACAGTAGTCGCTCGCTAACAAGATCGCCTACTTAGAATTTTAATTTCCTAATGTTTTCTTTACATAAATTGAAAAATATGTGAATAAAATAAACAGTTTTATTAAATAGTTTCAAAAGTTTTAACAGAAATGAATTTCTTTTGGCATTGACAATTATTTTTTAAATATCTAGAAGTTCTGAATTGGCAGTTAATTAGTTATTTGGTCAATTTAAAAGTCAGTAAGGATTTAGTCATTTGTTTATTGCACTTTGGATTTATATCAGAAAGTAAAATCAAAAAGAAGTTTTAAATCGAATTTAAGATTATTTTTTACAAAACCAAAACCACGGGAACTATTTTTTTCCAAATTCTTGACGCTCTTACTTAGCCTCGACTGCAGCAGTTGGTGTCTCCAGCGCGCGATGAACAGAGATTGGGAGCACACACTAGGGTGGATTCCGATTTGAGATGAGATTCAGCCAGCTGGACGAGGTCGTGCAATTTATTGGGCTGTTGCGTGTCTGCCGATTGAATTGCAGTAGGTCTCATTATTGTTGTTCAGGTATTTTCGAAGGCATCGCGCGCTGGCCGAGCCAGGTTGTTGTTGTTGTCATCTTACGCGGCTGCTTCCTGGGAGTTTGTGTACTTCAGATAGCGTATGCCTTGGAAGGCCTGCGCCGTGGCGTTTGTCGCGTGGCAGGCGAAGAGCAGCCAATTTCTGGGCTGCACTTTGTAGGCGAAGCGCATGAAGATGCACGAGTAGAGCGTCAGAGCTGCCAAAAAGAAGAAAAATGAAACCCAATTAGATTCGAATACGCATCTAATCAGCAGCATTTCGGCTGGACACACGCCAGCCATGTTACTGTATCTAGCTTATCAGCGCGCTCGCGATCGTTGATTAGCACAGAATTAAGTATCATAAACAAATGTGTCTAGGAACGTGGCTCTGATTACCGAACGCTATGGAAATTTTTTCAGCTGCTGTTGATAAAACGGGTTTGGAGCCAGAAATCCCTTACCTAATGTCATTCGGCCGGAGATGAACTTTGGATGCTTGGAGGTGTCCGCGATGGCTGCTATTGGAATACCCCAATTGGCGACTGGCCCCCAGAAGTGGGTGCTCATAAAGTAATTCCGCCACTCGGAAGCGCTCGAGCTGGACATTGAGCGTCTCATTGACATTGTGCTTGTTTTTTACTATAGATAGTTCCACTTGAGTAACTGGAAAAAATGATTTTGATTAGCGTCCCCATCGAATCCATATGCGTAGCTATAGATTTAGAAATCTCAAGGTCTTACAGGTTGTTGTTTTTGTTTTTGTTTTTGTTTCTACGGCGCAGTTGTTGGTACTGTTAACTAATTTTGCTGAAAATCCTTGGAAAAAGTTATGGTGTTTATTTATACGTTAACAAAAAAATTTTGTATTGAATTGAAATCAAAAGTTATGTAAAGGTAATATTTGTTTGAGAGTAGGACACAAAGCCTACACGAAACCAACAACTGTTCAGCACTAAAATAAACGAATGGCAAAAAGTGTCAGTCAAGTATATTGCTGGCATATTTAGGTCGTTTTTTAAAAATATGCATTACACGCACCTATTTTCAACGATGTGGCAACTCCATGATGGCAACAATGTGGGTGAGAACTCGGTCACCGTTACGTCTAAGTCACTGGCGCCAAAAGTCGTACGTTTAAATCAACGATATCGAAGACCCGACATTTGCGTTTTCTTTTTTCTTTTTTTTTGTTAATTAAATAACAGTCTTGAAAAAAATACTTTTCTTATGATATAGATTAGTAATGTGAGCAATATTAGTTTTACATCGGCCGCCACCTACAAAGTCTCAGCAATTCATTAGAGTCACATATTTTCTTTTAATCAAATTATGTTAATAAAATACCATTTTAATCAATAATTATATATACAATTATATATTATATTATATTAGCAAAAGACTAAAATATATGAATGCAAATATTATTCAAGCAATAAAATATAAAATTATTCTTGAGACTTTTCTATTTTCTGCAGCGAGGATAATCCGAGGAAACAGGAAGCTGTTATGATAGATTTTATGTTTGTATATATATGTTTTTTGTATACAGTACGTCTAAAAGTTCCGACTAAAGATTGTACAAGTTTTGCATCAGCCACGTTGTTGCCAATTGTTTGCATACCAGCCAATATTTAAAAGCTTTTTCAGGTAAAGATTGCACTTGAGTTGGCTTATCACTCCACCAAGGTGACTATAAAAGGTGACAGTTGTCCAAGAGTAAGGCATCAGTTGAGGTACAATGAAACTTCAGCTTACAATCTGTTTGGTTCTAGTGGCTGCATGCAGTTTGGCCAACGCCTACAACGGCGATGGCCAGCCGGGTTGCAAGACGCAGGAGGAGCTGGACGTTGGAATCTTCCGTGATAACTGGGATTCGACAGCCTACTGGAAGTGCGAGACACTCAACGAGCCCGCCAGCAAAGTGCGTTGTCCGGATGATACGGGTTTTGTCGATAGCCTGAAGGACTGCGTTAGCTGGGACGAGTGGACGTGGGAGAAGCCAGTCGCTCCACCCAGCGAGGTTGACGAGTAAACGAAAAACTTGATATTGAAAAGCTAAACGTGACATTTAATTATTGTCATTATATTAAATACGAAAACTGCGCTAGGCGGCTTATAAACGCAACGAAAAAGAATTAAAGAAATGTTTAAAGTCTGATGATTGGGGAGCTTTAGTCGCGGGTGCGCAGCCCCCAGATGGAGGTGCGACGCGTGCCCACAGTTGGGCGTCCTACCGAACTATGTATAAACTTGTTAATGCCAATTTTTGGCATTTGCTTCTCCAGCACCTCCATGGCGGCATCCGACAGCATGCCGAAAATGTCCAGATAGGTGAGTGAAGTCATCTTCTTCAATTCTCTGCATCGGTGAGATACAAAATAGAGTTAGAAAGGATTCAGCGCGATTATCTGTTAGATATCTTACATAAAACTAGCAGCGGGTATGAGATAGCAACGCGATACGGACAAATACTCAAGACTGTTGAATTTCATAATTGCCGCTAGTGCTGCCGGCGTTAGACTGTTGCAGTCGGAAAGATCAAGTTCAAGCAGCTGCGGGCAGCGTTTTTGCAGTGTTACAACATCTGAAAGAAAAGGAAAATGCATGTCAAATGGTTTCACGGATTGCCTTTGAGCAGTAACTAACGTGTATCGAAGAGCACACGCCTGCAGCCGGCTACATTCAATCGGATTACATTGGATGGGATGTGGGTAACCAGCGCGGTGACAGCATCAGCGCTTAAATCAGTCCATGAGATGTTTAGGCTGTTCAGTTTCGACAGCGATTCCATCATTTGACGCACGCTCTGAGCAGTTATTCCACTGGCCATAGACAGATTGAGGGTCTCCAGCGAACTGTTCTGCGCAATCTCAAAGCAAATCTCATCATTTAGCTCTGCATGCTCCAGGCTGAGCTTCCTCAGTTGACGACATTGGGCTAGTAATGTGCGCAAAGAGCTCAGTGAAATCGAAGCAAGACTTAAGTCCAAATATTGCAGACGCGATTGAAAATCTGTGGGTGATTCGCACGTAAAAGCTGGATCTTGTATCTGACGGGATGAAAGCGATTAGAATTTGGAAATGTGTATAAATTGTTTCCCCTTACATCAGCCTGGGCTAGGCGCAGCACCGGCACACCGCGCCTTACCACCTGCTCTAAGGCGTAGGGACGTAGTGTGCGCAAGCCCAGATCCAGACGTGTCCACAGAGTCTCATCGCGCGCACAGCAATTGAACCGTCGGCAAACAGTTGCTATGCGCAGCAAGGTCTTCTTTGGCAACCATTTGAAGATGTCCAGCAAAATCTCGTCGGACAATCTATCAAAGTAGTTGATGCCGCTGCTTATGTGTGCGCTCATCGAGGGCGTGCGATAGACAAAGAAGTTGTCAGTTGGCCCCAGTCGGGTTGTCAGTGTTGGCGGCGGCGGCGGCGGAGGCGTCGGCTTCTTCTGCCGCAACAACGCCTGCTTGCTGGTCGAGGGCAGCAAACTGAGGGGCGTCTGTTGCAGCGGGGGCGGCGGCAGCAAAGTCTCAATTTGATTATTGCATGTGACTGTGGCCAGAGGATTCCTGGTGCGCTTGCTCGGCGAGTTGGAATTGCTGCCGCACTCGCTGGTGGCCAGTGCAGTGCGCTTGGCCTGTGCCAAAGCGTGCAGCTTCTCGGCGGACTGCAGCAGCAAACGCTCCTGACTCTCCTCACAGAACACCTCAATAATAGTGTTGTTATTGACGCCGCTGTTGTCCAGCGTAGAAGCCGTCGAGTTGAGACTCATGCGCGTCTGTTGATGTGCCATGCGGGGCACATTCGCGCAGGGTGTAGTCTCATTGGAGTTCTCGTCGCTCGTGGTGCTCACAGCCAGCGTAATTGCCGACAGGGCCGACGAGCTGCTCTCCTCGGAGTCCAGCATCCCGATGCCCATTTCTTCGAGTGCCTCAAAGGTGAGCACGGAGGGCGAGGAGGTGTGCTCGTAAAGCGACGACGTTTTCGTTGCGGACACAGCAGCTGCGCCGACTGCACTATTTTTACTCGTCGAGCGTTTTCTGTAACAAGTTGGGCATTTATTAAAAAGTGCTGGGCGTACAAGTACGGGTCAGTTGCTTGGTCAGCACGGGTCAAGCACCTTTCAATTATGTGCTGGCCCCGTTTCGGTGCCTGCTTTTAATTTTGCAATGCATGTGACGTCACTGGAATAGTTCGCGCCATTTGCTGACCGGCACTCTGCATGCGTACACGATTTGCGAGCTTGGAAATGTTGATTTCATTGATGCACATATTTACCTGGCTACTGGACACAGATTTTCAATGTTTTCGGCTCCTTTGTGCTTGCGGCTACTCATATTTATTGAAGAATTTCTCTTTTTCTCACGCACAAATTACGCGCTATTTTTGTATGCAGCGTTGCCATATGCCACTGCTGTTACATTTTTAGCAGTGCTGCCAGACTTTTCATGAAATTAGCTGTTTTCCAGCACCAAGCAAATTAGTCAACACTGACAAGTCATAGGGAAAACACAACAACAATTGATCAAAAAGGCTGGGAAAATCGTATTTTTAAATTAAAAAGAAAAAATAAAAAGAACAAAGAATTGTTTGGCGAAAGTGTTCGCAAAATACGCATAAATTGCTCAAAATATGATATAAGTGCGCTGCAAATGATACATAGATACATTGAGGAAGACGGCTGTGAAAACAACGACGACAGCGTCTGCGTCCCTTTCCGCAGAGCCACTTTCGCAAGGTGAGTGAATTGGCTGGGCCCTGCTTTTGTTGCTGTTTTGCGTTGCACTTTCTTTGTTGTAGCCTGATTCCATGTCAGCTAGAACTGAAAGGTTGTCATTTACATAGGACAAAAGAGATGCGCATTGTGACGTCACAATCACAATAGTGCATAAAAACGTTTAGTTTTAGTTTGTCCCTTGAGTCTTTTGATTTGGTACCTTTGCAACTCTCTTCTAATACACAGATCCAGCAAGATGAGCTTACGCACACGTGCCCTAGTGTTCTCAACCTTCTTTGGCAGTTGTCTGGCCATAGGATTACTCTTGGCCAGTATGACAACCAATCATTGGGTGCGGGCCTATCCGCGGCGCGCCAACTCTACGGAAGCCAAGGGTGATGTCAACCTTGGGTTGTTCTATGGGTATCAGCACTTGAATCTCGGTTTTGGGCAGCGCACTAATCAGATTGATGGTGAGTTATGCAATTATATTAATTCGGTGTGCTTTAATTTAGTTTTCGATTTTCCACAGTTTATTCCTTCATTCGCACCGAACACGGCGACACCAGCTTCTGGCTATGGCTGCTCACCACACTTGGCACTGGGTTCGGGCTGTTGGCCTGTGCCGTAGCAGCCATAGCTGCTGTGTTTAAGTCAGCGTCAGCTGCTAAAAAAGGCGGCACCATGGTGCTCCTGTTAGCGTCCAACGTGTCGGCGGCTTGTGCGCAGGTGATTGCATTTCTGGCCTGGCTGGTGCAGTTCTATCAGTATCTCACACACAATGTGCTCTTAACGGAGCACAAGCAACAGCATTGGTATAGCAACGGTCTGGCCCATCTGGGCTACAGCTTTTATCTGGTTGTTATTTCGACAATTGTGGTCTTGTTGAATATAACAATTCTGCTGTATGCCAAACGCCGCGAGAATCGCGATCGTAATCGCTCGGAGCCGCTAAGCAAAGACAAGAATCAGGCGGCCATAATGCTCTACTAGGTAGACGGCGGCCTCAAATATAATCCTAATGTAACCTCAAATGGAAATGTTCGATCAAACGATGCAGTAACGAGCACCACATTATCTCAGCGGCTCAATTGTTTGTGCCTTACTTAAAGATGCCCTTTGCATGCCACATTATAAATATCGAATATATATACATATATTTTTTTCTTATCTTTCTCGTAGTCTGTAAGTCAGCATATGTACATATGTCAAAGGCAATAGCCTG